TCTGTGTCTTTATAGCACCAGGTATGTATGACTCCAGAAGGTAATAGCATAGTAGTAATTCAAAAATTCTATAATCATGGGGGTATTTTTTAAAGGGAATATACACCCTAACGATGAACTAACTTATTTTTTTATATCTGTTTAATAAGTGCAAAGTAAATACCTGTTGATCCTGCCAGAAATCTTGTGAGCTGATAACTTCTGTGCTCTATGCCTGCTCCGCTCTCATATCAATGACAGGTGTACCTCGGTTTACGAACGCCTCGGTTAATGTAATTTTTGGTTTACGAACGAAAATCCATTGAAAATAATAGTTCGGTTTGCGAATTTTATTTGCAATACGAAGTGTATGCCGCTTTTTTAAAAGCAATTGCCGGCTTTTTTTATCTTCACTTTAGCTCACAGAATTAGCTGTCACTTTCCCCAGAGCTAAAGGAAACTTTGTTTCTTTTAAGAAACTAAAAGGGAACATTGTTTCTTTTAACATGGGGAATAAACTAAAAGGAAACTTTCTTTCTTTTAGCTGGTGGGAAAGTGACAGCTGATTCTCTGAGCTATAGTGAAGAAAAAAAAAGTGATAATTACATTTAAAAACCGGTACCATAATAAATTAAAAAAAACGGCGTTGGGTCCCCACTCCCATGCATGCCAAGCCCTTCGGGCCTGGTATGGATTTTGAGGGGAACTCGAATGCCAAAACTTTTAAAAAATGGCATAGGGGCCGCCCCAAAATCCATACCAGACCCTTAGCATGCAGCCCGGCAGGTCAGGAAAGGGAGGGGGACGAGCGAGTGCCCCCCCTCCTGAACCATACCAGGCCACATGCCCTCAACATGGGGGGGTGCTTTCGGGCAGGGGGGAATAAACTAAAAGGAAACTTTCATTCTCTTAGCTGGGGGGGAAAGTGACAGCTGATTCTTTAAACTATAGTGAAGGAAAAAAAAAACTGTACTATATACTGTATAATGAAATGCATTTTTATTACATAATATCTGAAAAATATTTTTAAAAATATTTTTCATATATACTGTATGTCTTTAAAAATACAAATCTAAATATTTGGAATGCATTTACAAATATATGTAAAAATATATGCTAAAATGACTTTTTTATATGTTAAAAAAATCTGAAGAATATATTTTAAAAAAAAATTTTTTTTTTTAAATATTTTTCATATATTTTGTATTATATAAAAAAAACGCATTTCAACATGCAGTGTGTATATATATATATATATATATATATATATATATATATATAAATATATATTTATATTTTTTTTTTTTTTTAAATATATTGAACATGGCCTATATTGTAGTATTTCACATCCCTAGCCGGCACTTCTACCTTACAGACATGGGATTATTGGTTCAGATCCCAGCCAGGACTGCATGGAGTTTGCATTTCTCTCTGTACTTACTTGGCTTTCCTCCCACACTCCAAAGATATGCTGGTAGGTTAATTGTCTACTGTTTAAATTTTTCTTAGCGTGCGTGAGATAGAAGTCTTAGATTGTATGCTCGTTGGGGGCAGGGACCGATTTGAATGTACAATATGTAAAGCACTGACTGTCAGTCAATAATCACTCTTATTTCTATCATATTTTTCAGGTCATTCTCTTTTATGTGTTACATGTGTGGGAGTAAATTCCTGCACAGGACCTGCCGTGACCTGTCAATCTAATTACAGCTGTGGTTTGCTCTATAGAGAGACCACTGAAGGTACGCCTTGCAAAATATTTCAGCAGCATGATCAATTTTTATTTGTATTATTTAAGCAGAACTCCAGCCAAAGCAAATATTTCCATTTCAAATACAGGAAGTTAATGTATGATTCTCTGCTGGGCTTATGATTGTTATCTGACCCTTGATGGGCATATTGTCTTGGCCATGCCTATCTTATGGTGGCTCTAAGTCCTCTAATATGTCTAGTCTAGTCTACTCTAGACATCTATATATGATCCTTGAAGGCTTTATTGTCTCATCTATGTTTGTCTTGTAAAGGCTCTAGGTCTTCCAGTATGTCTAGTCTAGTCTAGACCTCTATATATGATCCTTGAAGGCTGTATTGTCTTGGCTTTGCTCATCTTGGTTGAGTCTCTAGGTACTCTAGTATGTGTAGTCTAGTCCTCTATGTATGATCTTTGAAGGCCATATTGTCACGGCTATGATTGTCTTTTGGTGGCTCTAGGTCGTCTAATATATCTAGTCCACTATGTATGATCCTTGAAGGCTGTATTGTCTCTGCCATTCTTGTCTTGTGGTGGCTCTAAGTCCACTAGAATGTCCAGGCTAGTATAGTCCTCAATATATGAACCTTGAAGGCTTTATTGTCTCGACCATACTTCTTCTCTTGTGGTGGCACTTAGTTCACTAATATGTTTAGTCTAGTCCTCTATGTATGAACCTTGAAGATTTTATTGTCTTGGCCATGGTCTTCTATTATTTCTAGTCTAGTCTCGTATATATGATTCTTGAAGGCTGTATTGTTTCAGCCATGAAGGCTGTATTGTCTTGTAAAGGCTCTTGATTCTCTAGTATGTCTAATCTACTCCTCTATATATTATCCTGGAAGGTAGTATTGTCTCGACTATGCTTGTCTTGTAGTGGCTGTAGGTCTTCTAGTATGCCTATGTAACAAATATAGCATGTCTTAAAGGCTCAGTCCACCCAAATAGATTTTGTTAGATGCTGGAGAATGAAACCACCTGACATCAAAATAAGGACACACAATGGACTGTCCTATTTGTCAGTGAAGTGAGGCGTAGGATATTTAATAGAAATCATGCCCCCAATACTTAAGGCCTTCAGTAGAAGACCCAGAGCTTGAATTTTGATATGGAGGTCTCGGAGAGCCATCTTGCAATATCCATGCGTATATCATGATGGGTCACCAACTTAAAAAATTGCAGATTAAAAGACATACATATTAAGCTGCTGAACCCCTCCCACAGTTCTACTCTCTGAACAAGCTATGTACAGCCCAGTGATGATGTCATTGCTATTTTTACTATCTGGGTTTGCAAAGGTATTTGGTGAACACAAATTTTATTTACAGGCACTGAAATGGCTTTAGTGTCCAGAATAAAACTGATGATGATGATAAGGATTTTTTTATTATTACAGTTATATAATGCTACTGTATAAATCATTGCACAGGTGGTAACAACTCTACAGACTATCTAAGGTCATGCGTACCGACAAGCCAATGCAATACGGTGGGCAGAATCGGCTATACCGGTGGCATAAGGAAGATGGGGATTTCATGCTGCAACACTGATAGCTGCACTCCAACTCTACCCCAATGTAAGTTCATTTATTTTTTTTAAATTAATTACACTATCTTATTATATTATATTATAAAATTATTATTATTATATTAAGTTATTTTATTGTGATATTATATTATATTAATAATATTTTATTATAATAAAAGAACACTTATGCCATTATGTATCAGGATGAAATCCTTGGACCCATTGTTTAGACCCTATGCTGGTGAAGTGGATCCTGGGTTCCTCCTGGTGCAGTGGGTCCTGGGTTCCTTCTGGTGCAGTGTGTCCTGGGTTCCTCCTGGTGCAGTGGGTCCTGGGTTCCTTCTGGTGCAGTGTGTCCTGGGTTCCTCCTGGTGCAGTGTGTCCTGGGTTCCTCCTGGTGCAGTGTGTCCTGGGTTCCTCCTGGTGCAGTGGATCCTGGGTTCCTCCTGGTGCACGACAATGCCTGACCTCATGTGGCGAGAGTATGCAGGCAGTTCCTGGAGGATGAAGGAATTGATACCACTGAATGGCCTCCACACTCACCTGACCTAAATCCAATAGAACACCTCTGGGATGTCATGTTTCAGGTCCATCCAACACGGGTTGCACCTTGGACTGTCCAGGAGCTCAGTGATGCCCTGTTCCAGATCTGGGACGAAATCCCCCAGGACGCCATCCATGGTCTCAGTAGGAGCTTCCCCCCAATGTTGTCAGGCATGCATACAAGCACGTGGGGGTCATACAAACTACTGGGGACCATTCTGAGTTGCTGCAATGACATTTCAGCAAAATGGACTCGCCTGCTGCATCATTTTTTCACTTTGATTTTTGAGGTGTCTTTGAATTCAGTCCTCTGTAGGTCAATCATTTTCTTTTTTCCTTTCCTTTCCTTTCCTTTCCTTTTCTTTCCCTTCCTTTCCTTTCCTTTCCTTTCCCTTCCTTTCCTTTTCTTTCCTCTCCTTTCCTCTCCTTTCCTTTCCTTTCCTCTCCTTTCCTTTCCTCGCCTTTCCTTGCCTTTCCTTGCCTTTCCTTGCCTTTCCTTTCCTTTCCTTTCCTTTCCCTTGCCTTTCCTTGCCTTTCCTCTCCTTTCCTTTCCTTTCCTTGCCTTTCCTTGCCTTTCCTCTCCTTTCCTTTCCTTTTTCCTTTTCTTTCCTCTCCTTTCCTCTCCTTTTCCTTTCCTTTCCTCTCCTTTCCTTTCCTCGCCTTTCCTCTCCTTTCCTTTCCTTGCCTTTCCTCTCCTTTCCTTTCTTTTCCTTTCCATGCCTTTCCTTGCCTTTCCTTTCCTTTTTTCCTTTTCCTTTTCCTTTTCCTTTTCCTTTTCCTTTTCCTTTCCTTTCCTTGCCTTTCCTCTCCTTTCTTTCCTTTCCTTTCCATTTTCCATGCCTTTCCTTTCCTTTCCTCGCCTTTCCTTTCCTTCCCTTTCCTTTCCCTTCCTTTCCTTTCCTTTCCTCCATTCCTGCCTTCCTCTATGCCAAATTGAAAAAAAAATACTGCTATGGATTGGTACCAGGAAACATTACAGCAAGTATTTGATATAATTTTCTGTTTTCCTGGCACCAACCTGGCAGCAAACTAACAAAAGCATTCTGCCATAGATTTGCTCCAGGAAATGTTTTTATTTTTAGCTTTTAGATAAAATGTTCTGTGTTCTTAACATGCACTTGACTAGTTTTCATATCTGATTTAAAATGATCTTTATGTTTATTATACTTATTTGTTTAATGTCAACTATTTACATTACAGAGAACATTCATAGAATCTGCACTCCCCTCCTCTGGGAATTTATAGAAAACTGGTCTAGACTGTAGTTTTGCTGTGTGGGGCGCATTGTGCACATTATAGAACCAGGGGCGGACTGACAGCTCATGTGGCCTCCGGGCAATAGGGGATCATGGGGCCCCTGTGTCCTTGCTCACACTCAAATCACACCCAAAAAAGCCTATGAAAGGTACCAGGGACATCTCATGGGGCCCCCTACTGACCCCGGGCCCTCGGGCACCGCCCGAGTTCCCCAATGGTCAGTCCATCCCTGTATAGAACATCTATTTCTCAGTGTTTCCTCCTCCAGCAATGACAGGTCTAAGATGTCATCGCCACAATGATGCCGCCATCTCCCCGCCATTTTCCCCCAGGATGAGATTTTGGTGATTGGGTTTACATCAATGTCAAAGCGGTCCTAAACACAAAAACTAAAAAATGTATTATATTGCATCTTACCATTTTCTTAGATTAGTGGTGGCTGAATTCGTTTTTTTTTTTTTTTTTTTTTTTAATGCTTTATTTTTACCTGGTTATCTGTCCATTAAGTGTGTTATTTTTCAACTTCCTTTACCAGACCATGCCCTTCAGAGAAACAATAAATGACATAATTACTGTTTCTCCCAGATTTAATGGCACCATGGTGATTGGACTGTGTAATTAGGGTGTTGTGGTTTAAAAAAAAAAAAATCACACCTCCCATCATGTGTTCAGACAATTATAATTGGCTTTGACACCATGGTCATGGGATTGCCATGTGAGCACTTGTATGATGATCACACGTCTGTTTATAAAAAAGGTCAGGGTTACTGTTCGGGTCTATCATATTCTCAGCCAGGGGCAGACTGACCATTTGAGCACTCGGGTACTGCCTGGTCAGTAGGAGGCCCCATGAAATGCCCCTGGTACCTTTTATAGGCTTTTTTGGGTGTGCTTTGAGTGTGGTCAAGGACACAAGGGGTCCCATGATCCCCTATTACCCGGGGGCCCCATGAGTTGTCAGTCCACCCCTGTTCTCAGCTAACAATGGGCTTCTTTTGTACACACAAGAAGAAAGCCAGGATAGTAGCTTCTCTAACCCTCAGGAGACATTTACACCCTTAAAAACCACCTGAATTTTGATGGGGCATGGGGACCTGGTGGGTTCTGAGAGAGGCTGTGGGTTTCATGACAGTGTATGCCAGGGGCGGACTGACCATTTGAAACTTGGGCACTACCGGAGGGCCCGGGGTCAGTAGGAGGCCCCATGAGATGCCCCTGGTACCTTTTTCATAGGCTTTTTTGTTTGGGCAAGGACACAGGGGCCCCATGATCCCTATTGCCTTGGGGCCCCATGAGTTGTCAGTCCGCCCCTGGTGTATGCACAGTCCAGCTCTCATTCCCAGGGAGCTGTGAAGGTGAGTGTCTTCCTCTCTCCCATGGGCGATGGTGGCTGATGTGTGGGGGGCAGAGGTAGTGGAAGGCCCTCTCAAGTGGGGGGCAGAAGTGTTGTTGGCAGGGGTGGACTGACCATTTGGAAACTTGGGCACTGCCTGAAGGCCCGGGGTCAGTAGGGGGCCCCATGAGATGCCCCTGGTACCTTTTTCATAGGCTTTTTTGAGTTTGGGCAAGGACACAGGGGCCCCATGATCCCTTATTGCCCAGGGGCCCCATGAGTTGTCAGTCCGCCCCTGGTTGTTGGTCAAGCTCTCTCTGCGGGGGGATGGGGGGGGGTGCGCTGATTTTTGTGTTGCCTAGGGTAGCAGAAAACATAAATACACCACTGTCAGTGACACAAAAACTCTTGATTTTGGTCATCCCTAGTGTTGGTCTTAAGGGGTTGACCTTTGTTGATCTTTAAGAATTATCCTTACTAGGCATGTGCCATTACTTGTGTTACAAATCGAAATTCAGACAACATTTTCATTATTCAGAGACTCAGATGTATCCGGATTTCAGAATCACAGTAATAACGCTTTCCAGTTAATAGTTACATAGTTAGTCTGGCTGAAAAAAGACAAAAGTCCTTCCAGTTCAACCATAGAAAACAAAAAAAAGTTATAATCCTACACCCACAGTTGATCCAGAGGAAGGCAAAAAACCCAGCAAAGCACGATCCAATTTTCTCCTGCTGGGAAAAAAAATTCCTTCCTGATCCCCCGAGAGGCAATCAGATATTCCCTGGATCACCTTTACCTATAAATGTTACATCCAGTTATATTCTGTGTATCCAAGAAAGAATCCAGGACTTTCCTACAGCAATCCACTGAGCTGGCCACAACCAACTCTTGAGGGATAATCCAAAATAAATTATAATGAAATGAATTATCCAAATTTGAAAATGAATTTGAATTAGAAAATGAATTTGTATTTGAAATGGAAACATATTGCAAAAAAAAATACAGTAAGATATGAAAGTGAAATTAGATGATGATTCCTACTTGGGCTGCTGAACAGAATAGAATAGAAGAATAGAACAGAGTACAGTGGCTAAATAGCTAGCACTCCTGCCTGGCAGTACTAGGGTCGTTGGTTCAAATCCCAGCCACAGCACCTCCTGCCTGGAGTTTGCATGTTCTCCCTGTGCCTGCGTGGGTTTCCTCAAGGTACTCCGGTCTCCTCCCACACTCCAAAGATATGCTGGTAGGTTAACTGGATCCTGTCTAAATTGTCCCTAGTATGTTTATGTATGAATGTAAGTTAGGGACCTTAGATTGTACACCCCTACGGTTATGGTCTGATGTGAATGTACAATATATATATATATGTAAAGCGCTGTGTAAATTGACAGAGCTATATAAGTACCTAGAATAAAAAATAATTAAACAGAGTAAAATAGGAAATAACAGAACTGTACAGAATAGAACATAAAGGAATAAAAAAGAGAAGACTAGAGCAGAATAGATGGTAGTAGAATAGAATAAAACAACATACACTAGAATAAAATAGAAGGGATATAACCATCTTCTGAAATTTTTATTTAGGTAACGAATTCTGCAAACGAGTCATTCTAACATAATCAATATGTGAAACTAAATTATTAACTTAACAAATGAATCAGAAACAAATAGACTGGAACACAAAAGAATAGAACAGAAAAGTAAAGAATAGACTAAAACAGAAAAGAATATAAAATAATAGAATAGAATAGAAAAGATAGAAAAAAACAGAATAAAATAGGAAATAAAGGAATAGAAAAGAAAAAAATAAAATACAACAGAATAGAATACAAAATACTGTATATACTCGAGTATAAGCCGAGTTTTTCAGCACATTTTTTGTGCTGAAAAACGGCCCCCTCGGCTTATACTCGAGTCAGCCAGGGGGGGCGCAAGGCTCCGTCAAGGGGGGAGCGTACAGGGGTGGGCAGAGGGCTGCTGTCTCTTACCTGGCTCCCACGATGATCCATCCAGGAAGCGCTGCTCCTTCCGTCACTCCGGCCACTCCCTCACTCCTGCCGCTCGGCTCCGCCTCCTCACCGGTGATTGGCCGCCAGAACTGTAGCTCAGGAAAGGTACACAGGCGGCCAATCATGGGGCAAGGAGGTGGAGCCAAGCGGACCCACGAAAATTGAGTGAGGGAAAAGCCGGTAAGTGTGCAGTGCAGAGGTGCTGCTGCAACCACATATGCTGGCTGCAGCAGCACACCATACTGCAACAGGGGTCAGCAAGTGTCATTGGTGTCAGTGGGAGGAATAGTGCCGCATCATTGGTGTCACTGATACTAATGATGGAACATTATTCCTCCCACTGACACCAACGATGGGGCACTATTCCTCCTCCCACTGACACCAATGATGGGGCACTATTCCTCCCACTGATACTAATGATGGGGCATTATTCCTCCCACTGACACCAATGATGGGCACTATTTCTCCCACTGATACCAATGATGGGGCATTATTCCTCCCACTGATACCAATGATGGGGCACTATTCCTCCCACTGACACCAATGATGGGGCACTATTCCTCCCACTGATACTAATGATGGGACATTATTCCTCCCACTGACACCAATGATGGGGCACTATTCCTCCCACTGACACCAATGATGGGGCACTATTTCTCCCACTGATTCCAATGATGGGGCACTATTCCTCCCACTGATACTAATGATGGGGCACTATTCCTCCCACTGATACTAATGATGGGGCATTATTCCTCCCACTGACACCAACGATGGGGCACTATTCCTCCCAGTGATACCAATGATGGGGCACTATTCCTCCCACTGATACCAATGATGGGGCACTTTTCCTCCCACTGATACCAATGATGGGGCACTATTCCTCCCACTGACACCAATGATGGGGCACTATTCCTCCCACTGATACCAATGATGGGGCACTATTCCTCCCACTGATACCAATGATGGGGCACTATTCCTCCCACTGATACCAATGATGGGGCACTTTTCCTCCCACTGATACCAATGGGGGCACTATTCCTCCCACTGACACCAATGATGGGGCACTATTCCTCCCACTGATACCAATGATGGGGCACTATTCCTCCCACTGATACCAATGATGGGGCACTTTTCCTCCCACTGATACCAATGATGGGGCACTATTCCTCCCACTGACACCAATGATGGGGCACTATTCCTCCCACTGATACCAATGATGGGGCACTATTCCTCCCACTGATACCAATGATGGGGCACTATTTCTCCCACTGACACCAATGATGGGGCACTATTCCTCCTTATAACAATTTTATAGACAAATGATACTATTTACAGTCGCGCGGGGGGGCGATAAATAAATATTCATGTGATTTTATTGGTCTCTATCTTTATTTTTTACATTGACTAGTAGGTGCCTCATTTCCCACCCTCAGCTTATACTCGAGTCAATAGTTTTTCCCAGTTTTTTGTGGTAAAATTAGGTACCTCGGCTTGTATTCGGGTCGGCTTATACTTGAGTATATACGGTAAAACAACAGAATAGAAAAGAATAGAATAAAAAATAAAAGACTAGAATAGCATTGAAATAAATAGAATAAAATAGAAAGAATATAGCCATCTTCTGAAATCTGAATTTACGAAACAAATTCTGAAAATGAATCATTCTAACATACCGAATATGCAAAATTTAATTATTAACTTAACAAACGAATCCAAAACAAGATGAATGTTTCCACTGTGCACATCTTTATATTTTACTCTTACATCTTCTCAGCTTACATAACTATAAAATAATGTTCTGCTTAATTAATGGGACATCAAAATGATCTGTTAAGAATATTTTATATAATATTTTTATTGTACATTTTTATATGTGTTTTTGTAACTGAAGTTATCATTACCTTCTAACAGGGCCAGCTGACAGTTCGCAGGCCAATGGACTGTTTTGCCCATCATGCCGATCTCAGACGCAGAGCTGGTGTAAGCAACAGACGAATATACAATGTACCGGCAGCGAGCAAACGTGCATTTTTGAATCTAATGTAACGTCAGGTATTTCACCATTATTTTATGTTTTTATGTATTTTTTTTATTTTATTTAAAAATGATTTGTCATGAGAGTACAATCCTATCCACAACAAAATTGCTCTTTAACCTTTTTGGTGCTGAGATAAGGTCCTCTGGCATCCACAATGAGGACTGAGAGCAGAGCTCTTAAAAAAACTATAATTTTTAAATATTTATCAAGTAAATTTGAAATTTAGCATATGTATAGTTTGTATTCTCTTTTATGGCCAGGAGGTGGAGCTGCGTGCACCTTTTCACATGTTTTCTAATTTTTTTTCCTGCTTTGTGGAAAAAGGTCTGCTGCTTACAGAGCTGAATAGCTCAAGCTGAAATCCACTCACATAAGTGAACAAGTCAGAGTAACACCTCTTCAGGGGCGGACTGACAACTCATGGGGCCCCGGGCAATAGGGGATCATGGGGCCCCTGTGTCCTTGCCCAAACTCAAAAAAGCCTATGAAAAAGGTACCAGGGGCATCTCATGGGGCCTCCTACTGACCCCAGGCCCTTGGGCAGTGCCCGAGTTTCCAAATGGTCAGTCCGCCCCTGCACCTCTTTCTCCTCCTTTCTGATGGGTCCATACCGATCGAAAAGCAAACAGCTCCTGCTCTGCCATCTTTGGAAAATTGGTATATATACACATATTATATATATATTATATATATGTGTGTGTGTGTGTGTGTGTGTGTGTGTGTGTGTGTGTGTGTGTGCGTGTATATATATATATATATATTTTTTTTCCTCTAAATTACTGTATGTCACCTATAGTTTTACAATTTTTTGTAATTTTTAAATACAGGGGTTGGACAAAATTATGAAAACATCATGTAAAAGAGCAAATTAGTTACCCAGTATGTTGTTGGACTGCCTTTAGCATCCTAGATAGTGGTGTATTTTGATTTAGTGCTGCCCTAGGAAACAAAAAAATCAAAACCCCACCCCCCCTCGCAGGGGAGATGACTTGACACTGCCACAACTGTACAACACACCATCTTGTGCCAGAAAAAAGATCTTCATCTCTAGAGCTGCCATGAAATTGAAGGGGGAAAAACATGTAGGCATGTGCTCACTGCTTCCTGCCCCACCCTCGTGTCCACTACCGGCCAACCCATACGGAGCAACCTAGGACACAGCTGTACAACACACCGTCTTGTGCCAGAAAAAAGACCTTCATCTCTAGAGCTGCCATGAAATTGAACTGGAAAAAACATGTAGGCATGTGTTCACTGCTTCCTGCCCCACCCTCGAGTCCACTACTGTCCCACCCATATGGAGCAACCTAGGACACAACTGTACAATACACCATCTTGTGCCAGGATAAAGACCTTCATCTCTAGAGCTGCCATGAAATTGATGGGAAAAACATGTAGGCATGTGTTCACTGCTTCCTGCCCCACCCTCCTGTCCACTACCATCCCACCCACATTGAGCAACCTAGGACACAACTGTACAACACAGCATCTGTGCCAGGAAAAAGACCTTCATCTCTAGAGCTGCCATGAAATTGATGGGAAAAAGATGTAGGCATGTGCTCACTGCTTTCTGCCCCACCCTCGAGTCCACTACTGTCCCACCCACACGGAGCAACCTAGGACACAACTGTACAACACACCATCTTGTGCCAGAAAAAAAGACCTTCATCTCTAGAGCTGCCATGAAATTGATGGGGAAAAACATATAGGCATGTGCTCACTGCTTCCTGCCCTACCCTCAAGTCCACTACCGTCCCACCCACACGGAGCAACCTAGAACACAACTGTACAACACACCATCTTGTGCCAGGAAAAAGACCTTCATGTCTAGAGCTGCCATGAAATTGATGGGGAAAAAAAATATAGGCATGTGCTCACTGCTTCCTGCCCCACCCTCGAGTCCACTACCATCCACCCACATGGAGCAACCTAGGACACAACTGTAGAATACACCATCTTATGCCAGGAAAAAGACCTTCATCTCTAGAGCATCCATGAAATTGATGGGGGAAAAACATGTAGGCATGTGCTCACTGCATCCTGCCCTACCCTCAAGTCCACTACTGTCCCACCCACATTAAGCAACCTAGGACACAACTGTACAACACACCATCTTGTGCCAGAAAAAAGACCTTCATCTCTAGAGCTGCCATGAAATTGATAGGGAAAAACATGTAGGCATGTGCTCACTGCTTCCTGCCCCACCCTCGAGTCCACTACTGTCCCACCCACATGGAGCAACCTAGGACACAACTGTACAACACACCATCTTGTGCCAGAAAAAAGACCTTCATCTCTAGAGCTGCCATGAAATTGATAGGGAAAAACATGTAGGCATGGCTCACTGCTTCCTGCCCCACCCTCAAGTCCACTACTGTCCAACCCACACGGAGCAACCGTACAACACCATAGAATACGACCCAGATATGTAGGAAGACTTTTATTCTTGGTTAAGCTCAGTGTTTCCTATTTCTTTAACAATAATTACACTTTCTGTCTGAAATAGTTTTTAAATTTCAGTGATTTGTTTATTTTTTTCAGGTTCTGGTGAAAGTGCGGTAGGCTGCGCCACTCCAAATTTCTGCGATGTCACACAATATTCATACGTATCTAGTAGTTACAGTGTTTCCTTGGATTTTTTTTGTTTCCCTGCAACTAACACCTCCGGGGCCGTACCTACAACAGGTAAGAAAGAGATTGTTCCATTGTGCCTGTGAAGGTTCTCATGTATCCAGGTCATGGTATATTTGGTAGACAGTCACAGTCAACTGGACTTGAATAAAGTTAACCCCTGGTTCACATCTGTGGGGTCGTGCGGGCTGCGATTTGGCAAGGCATGAGAGCCCATTCATTTGATAGGACTCCCGTGCCCCGGGACACGCAGGGAAGAGGTCCCTGCACTGCTTGGGAAATCGCAGCCCTCATGGGAAACAAGCTTCCCAGTATGGTTGCAATTTCCAATGCGGGTGGCGTGCCATTAGAATTAATGGCACCCGCCTGCGGGTCCCACATTCCTTTGTGTGGGTGGTGCGGCTGCAGATATTTATGCGGGTCCCACAGCGGTACCGACCGCACATATGTGAACGAGGGGTAAAGGATATGTTAAACTTTTTGCCAAAAATAATAAGTGCACATTATCGGAAAGCTCTCGATCACAAGTAGAGATCGGGAGCTTTCTGTTAGCTCCTGGTAACTGTACCAGAAGCGCGCACGGTGCGCACTCTCGACACAGTTCTTTTTTTGTTTAGGTATGCATACATGCGGCCTCTCTGCACTAAGGCCCACCCACTGAGAGGCCAAATATATGCATACGGCTGAGGGGGAAGAGTTAACTTATTAGTCAGAGACAGAGTATTTGTACCTAGCCAATGACAATTCCCACTATTGGTTAATCTACAAATCTCCACATTTAAAACAATAAAAATGTAAGGGCAAGTATGCAAAAATGTGAATGTGATCTACCTATCTGTCTTGGAAAGAGAGACAGAGGATTTGCACTGAGTCAATGAGAGTTCCCTCTAGTGGCTAACCTTCAAATCTTCACACTTAAAGTGTTACTAAACCCACAACAGTACAATCAGCCTGTAGATGCAGTAAAGCATGCTTGTTATACTCACTGTGGAACCTAAGGGGTTAATCATCTGCATTGTGTAAAAATGCTGTTTGATCCTGTCTTCTCTGCCCCTCCTTTTGTTGAAATGACCACCTGAAACAGACTGAATCCGTTGTCACAGGCACGTGCTTAGTTTGGTGTGCTAGAGGTTTTTTTTTTTTCTTGGAAGAGTACATGTGATCAGCACAGGGCCAATCAGCACTGTCCAGACAGAGGTCAGGTGTTCTGCATCCTCCTAGAGAAGAATGAAAACTCCTTCTACAAGCTTAACTAGTGCTCTGCTGGACACTGATAGAAGTCACAAGACTGCTCTATACTGCTGATGAGAAAAAGGTATTTAGGAGTTTATATTTACTAAAATAATTGCATTTCCATGTTGTGTGTACTGTGGAAGACCAGATATAGTGAATGCAGGGTCCAGGGAGAGCGGATATAGTGAATGCAGGGTCCGGGGAGAGCGGATATAGCGAATGCAGGGTCCGGGGAGAGAGCGGATATAGTGAATGCAAGGGTCCAAGGAAACCGAATATAGTGAATCAGGGTCTGGGGAGACCAGATATAGTGAATGCAGGGTCCGGGGAGACCGAATATAGTGAATGCAGGGTCTGGGGAGAGCGGATATAGTGAATGCAGGGTCCGGAGAGACCAGATATAGTGAATGCAGGGTCCGGGGAGACCAGATATAGTGAATGCAGGGTCCGGGAGACCAGATATAGTGAATGCAGGGTCCGGAGTTTAGTAACACTTTAAATATAATGAAAATATAGGGGCAAGCATGTAAACATGTGAAAGTGATTTTAAATATATTAAGATTAAAAAGAAAAACTGCAATTTTAATTTAAAAAAAAAAGAATAGCAGCAAAATAAAAATGCATTTTTGTGTTGTAGGTACCACAGTCACATGCATTCGTTGTTCAGCTCATGGCACTTTAGACTGTGCAGGTCCTTCACAGACATGTCCTTTAAATAATGTATGTGCATCAGCATACGTGATAACCAATGCTGGTAGGTGTGTCAGCAAACTTGTCCTCTTCATATGTTTCTCTTCCTACCTGTGTGCAGTCTTAGAAAAGCCAAGACCGGTAGAAGGGAAACTTTGCAAATAAAAATAGAATTTATGAGTGTATCAGCTTTGAAGCCTTCTTTCATAATATTAGTTAATATTCTTATCAGCAAAACTGTTATTTTATTTTACCCCCCGGTTCACACTGCTGCAACTTTGCATGAGACTTGTGGTACATAATGTCGCATGACAATTGAATGCCCATTTTGTTTCAATTGCCATTCCTTGCAAGGAGACTCAAGATGCAGTGACGTTATAAAAGTTTCCTGCACTACTTTAATGTTGACTTTGATGCTTCTAGTGCCCTACACTCTTCAAGGTGCATGAAACGCGCAAGTAAGTTGCACTGCATAGTTGCACTGGAAATTACACAACAATGGGGTGGCAGCAGTGTGAACAGAGCCTCAATGGATATATTTGACACACAAGTACTTCCAGTATATTTTTATTTTTATACTGTGATATCTATTATAGATGTTTATTTATTCATAGATCTTTTTCTTTTTCTTTCTATTCTATCTATCTATCTACCCTTTTTCTTTCTTTCTTTTTCTTCTGTTTTCTTTCTTTTCTTTCTTTTCTTTCTTTCTTTCTTTCTTTTCTTTCTTTCTTTCTTTCTTCTTTCTTTCTTTCTTTCTTTCTTTCTTTCTTTCTCTTTCTTTCTTTCTTTTCTTTCTTTCTTTCTTTCTTTCTTTTCTTTTTTCTTTTCTTTCTTTCTCTTTCTTTCTTATCTTTCTTTCTTTCTTTCTTTCTTCTTTCTTTCTTTCTTTTATCTTTCTTTCTCTCTTTCTTTCTTTTTCTTTCTTTCCTTCCTTCTTTCTTTCTTTCTTTCTTTCTTTCTATCTATCTAATCTATCTATCTATCTATCTATCTATCTATCTACTTTTTCCTCTCATCTT